AACATTCCGTTTCATCAGATCATAAACCAACAGTAAATTGGTATGAGAAAAGCTTTATTTATGCTGCTTATAGTTTGATACAATCAACCGATTGAACGCAGGAGATGAAAATACAATGTTGGCATGGATTCAAGACTCGACTCTTTATGCCACGATAGACGCCAGTCAATTTACAACGTACCAGACAGGTGTGCCAAAATATATTCTACATTCCTTGATACTTATTTCTTTCTGTTCAGGAGTATATGACGATCCTAATTGCTCGCAAATGATACCTGATCATGCAGTAAATAATAATGGGCATTACAGTTCTAAATCTCTAGTCTAATGACTTTGTTTTAGCTTCAGATTGTTGGCTACGGTACGGAAGGTGATAAACCGTTCTGGCTGTGTAAAAATAGTTGGGGTACGTACTGAATCGTAGTGAATTTATCTGTACTATTTTTTCATGTTATAGGCTTAAATTGGGGTGAACACGGCTATATACGTATTGCGCGTGGCAAGAACATGTGTGGCATTGCCAATACAGTCGTGCAAGTAGCAGATACAATAACAACACCTATGACTACATCCAGCACCACCCAGCATTCATCTCCAACTGTATCAACTTCAGGCAGTGGTGCACGGCAATATATGATTTGTCCAATTTTTTTCATGTTTTTGTTCGTTCTTCTTTTTTCATAATTCAACATAATTGATTACTACTTTAGACGTTAAACTAAAGGAATAAAAGTGTTTTCTACTTTACATAATCCTGTGAACTGATTTTAATTCAATAGTCGGTGATGAAGATAAAGAGAACACCATAACGCATAGATATGACTGTGACACAGGGCTCGAAACGGGCCAATTTGTGATGGCCCAGCCCGGCCCATACCGGGCCAAGAATAGTTCATGCCCGCCCGGCCCAGCCTCTTCTATATTAGAGCCCAGCTCGGCCCGCCCGACCAATTAACCGTGCCCACCCGGCCCGGTCCGAATAACAATTGCACTATTATCATTATAGTTCTTTTATAAAGAAGGTTTTCACATGACGGAACCCAATATCACTGGATTTAGAGATGGTTATTTCTCCTTGATTTATTTTAATTTTAAACTTATTGAATTTTAAATGAAGTATAGATTTGAATGTTGAAAAGTTAAATAAATTTTAAATTTGATTTATTTATATGAATTTCAATAAGTTAAATTTAAAATAAATTTAACTTTTTGGATGTCAGAACTTAAACTAATTTTAAATGTAAATTTACAAATTTACATTTAAAATAAATTTAAACTCTCATACCTGAAAACTTAAATTTATTTTAGATTTAGATTTTTAAAAATTAATTTTTGGACTTATTAAGCTTTTATAAATGCAAAATTGATCATCCCTACACTGTTGTAATTTTTCAAATCATTATAATAACGTTACTATGATCATGATGATCACGACTTGAATAAGGTTAGACAATTCTAAGTCTTCAAAAAAGCCTGGTAGATAAGTCGAATTACTTACTGAATCAATAGTGTAAGATGAATCCATCGACACTTCAACTTCTGGAATACTATTATTTATTAGCACGAACCTCACAGAAGTGAAACACCTACTGGTCAAATTCAATGAGACACATTGATTGATATTTCTACTTTCTCTGCTAATTTTAGTATACAGCTAAAACTGTTCCACTTAAATACTGTTTATGTGGCTTAATACAGTTAATATTTCACTCCATTTTCTTTGTTAATGAGGTGTTATCATACTGAATAAATACTTTGTTTTCATTTATTGCCTAAATGAAATTTCCAAAGCGTTCACATGGTGAAGCTTCTTGATCGTTAACAATTCTGAGATGTACAACCCATGTAAAAAAATGTCAATGAAAAACTTAAATAAACCGATTATTTTTTTTTGTTAAAAATCGATTAAAACGATGCCACTTAATTCTTACTGAAAATGAATTTTTCAACATGAAAAATAGATTTCATTTGATTTTACTATTTTAAATCGATTTTTAGTCGAATAATAAAGTCCTATTGATTGAAATTGATTTTTAGAAACTGATCAAGAATGATTAAAATCAAATGATATTTATTCTTGAACCTGACAAATCAGATTCTGACTGGATCCAAATGGTGTCATTTTAATTGACACCTATTCATAAAAAAATTAATTCTAATCTAATTTATCGATATTTTTTCTTACACAAGTCAGTATTAATTGATGTCCATCTTAACGCCTGCTATACGTGTCAAAGTCTAGGCTAGTGTGATAATCACGATCTGCTAAGCTAGGCAGTTCGAAAAAAACAGAGGTTCGTGTTCCTAACTTAAAACCCGAGAAAAACCTGTTTTACGACCACCACCATTTAAATCAAGTGAAAATGAACTAGTTACTCTAATTTTGATTAAATGATGACAATTCCACCCTTAATCTATCTTTAGCTAGGAAGAAGCCGACTAGAGTCATTTTTTTTGTCTTGTGTGAGAAATTTCCCTTGCAAAACAGTAATAAAGTTCGGGCCGGGTGGCCCGAAAGAATTTGAAGCCCGCTCGGCCCACCGGTCTTCGTTGAGGAGGCCCGCCAGGCCCGGAATAAAGACCTTCTCGGGCCAGGTTGAGCCGAGCCGAGCCGAGCCGGGCCGGGTCACCGAGCCGGGTGGCCCGTTTCGAGCCCTGCTGTGACATGGATATAGACGTGAATATGAGCCTTCTCTTCACTCAGGCTACACAACCATACCTTTCTATATGGAACAAATTTTTATGAGAATGTGAGCGTTGTCAGAAATGAATCATGGTCAATGTCACGCTTAAATTAAAAAATAAATAACGAAGTACAATTAACATAACGATTTCAATTCCTTATTCAGAAAAAAAAGATACAATGATAGCTTGTTCTACATTAATATTTTTTTGATTTAATCATTTACATAGCAAAAATTATTATATCAAAAAATGAAGTTTTTACTTTGTTTCGAAAAAAAATATATTGCTTAGTCTTCGATTAAAAAATACGCCCTAAATATTTATATAATCAAAAAAAAATATCGTTGATTATTGACAATATATTCCTCATAAGATTGTTTTTATGATAAACATGAAGGACAGCATAAAAATTAATAATGATAGATGTGAATCTACACGTGAGATAGGTGGATAAGATAAAAAAGAACATCATGTTTTTTTCATTTATCTAAACATAACTTCGTAGCTGTATGTTTGTGGTTGATTCCTATAATGAAACGAACAAATTACTATACAAGTAATTTATATAAAAATAGATATGCGTTTCTGCATAAATTATTTTCTTGTTTGATTTAGATTTCATCTAAGTGAAAACATATCAAATAAGTACAAGAGTTTAAGCTACTCAATGCAATCCTATGACCGATAGACTGAAAGCAAAATTTAGAATTGGGCTGAAATCCATCCACATAGCAATTAGCTGAGTTGGTTTGACCCGTCGGTTGAAAAAAAGCGAAAAAAAGCGATCTTCGGCATCTCTGATCTTTACAACTCGAATATACGGCTGATGAGTTTCTTTTTTATCTGCATACTCCACACATGATCCAAGTCGAGGGACTGTGCTAGATGAAAGATGATTGTCACCGTGTTGACGTTCTTTATCTTTATCAAAATAAAAATTTGCTTATAATGTAATTTACAGTGAGAAATAAATTTGACCTCATTTGACATATCTTCTCTGACTTGACTCTGTCTCTCTTTTCTTCCGTCTATTTTTCATCTCTCAAATGTTTCTATAGTTAATTAATTAATTCAGAAAGTAGACGTAAACATCGTCTGATGAGTAATGTCAACACCAACGTATGCTTACGGAGTTTATCATCATTTTGTCTTCGTCAACATTTGTCAAACTGTTTTTTTTCAATTAAATGGAACATCCTACATCAATAATACCTAAAATAGGTGCCTCTAAAACAGATCAACTCAATGAACTCTCTTCTATATTGTTTTTAAAAGTGTCTTTGAATTTCCCTACCAACATATGTTGCTTACTGTTACACTTGTATACAACCATTTCTGTTCGCCAGTGACTATTTTGTCGTATTGTAATCATTTCAACCACAGGGAACTACAAAGTATCAACTACACACTAGCGAGAAAAAGGGAATAGAAAGATAGCTTAGCATCTATTTCTGTCTTTCTGTATCTGTTGATGTTTACCACTCAACAAGTAATGGTATATAAATAAAAAATATGTACTTACAATCATATAAATAGCTAGCGTCACCGACTTTTTTCTCATAAGACAACAACCCAAAAGGAAGATAATCGATTCATGAACAATGAAAAATATTCTAATTGCACTACTTGTTGTGCTTTTCATAATTGTTGTGCAGTGTTTAGAGCAGACTGAAACGCATATCCAACGAGCCGGACCATCGAAGAATGAAGCATTTGGTCGATGCCGAAAATTGAAAAATGGAACAATCTCATGCCGTTGTGGCAAGAAGAAAGTAGTCTATGATCGCCTCCAACAAAAATGTATCAATGGACAAGTTGTTCAAAAGTAAGGGTTCTCGAGTGCACAAATGTTTCACTTGCGTTACAAATATAACACATTAATGATAATATAGTATGGATACATTCAAAATCAAAGTAGAACTTTTCATTTTTATCTTTCTTATTAGACAAACCACAATAATTGATATTAAGAGAGACTAGTCAATGGTCAAAAATGTGATTAGAATAAATTAGAATGATTGATCTCAACGAATTCCTGGCATGTGAAATCGTATTATTTGAGTTTAGAACGAAAAACATTCAGTCTTTTCTCTGTAATCACACATCACACATATTTCCAAATTGTGAATTTAACAAGAAAGAAGATTTTTTTAGGAACGGTTCTAAAACAAACGATTATTGTAGTTTTTCGAATGACTATCCTACTAGTAGCTTTGAAAATTGATGATGTTCTTTGATCAAAGAACTTTTATTATCACTTGGATATTAACAAATAAACTAATGGAATATTTGTTCTTTTTTTTAGAAACATAAACATGCCTACTGGTCTTCGATTACCAATTACACCGATTTATCGTTCTACACGTGAGGATCAATATAATCAAGCATGTATGGGACTTCAAAAAACAAATAGTTCATCGGTGATACCACTTTGCCATGTATCTGCTGAAGTATGGATTCATTCATATGCAGCCGATGTTACTTTAACTCAAATATATATCAACCAGGAAAGTAATCCAATCGAAGCAATCTACGTATTTCCCATCGAGGTATGGCTTAAAGTGATTTGAATTGTGAAATCGTTTTTTGTTAATAGATAAATTGATGTATTTCTATATGACTTGAAATGTTACATTGATGATTTATAGTCATGCAGGACAGATGTGTTACAAAACAGATGTTTGTCACTGATTATACTTTTAATAGGATCTTACTTGTATTTCTTCATGAACAAAGATAAATATGCATAATTTCAATGTTTTGTATCATTGATTCTTGTTTTCTGATGAACAAAATAGTTCCTAAATCTATTCATTATTCGAATCCATTTGAAAAATTTCTTTGTAGGAAAATGCGGCTATATATGAATTTACAGCTACAATTGACGATCGTCTGATTACGGCTGAAGTGAAAGAAAAACGAGAAGCCGAAGCTCAGTATACACATGCAATTCAACAAGGTCAAACAGCTGTATTACTACGACAAAGTGAACGAACATTTGATACCTTCAGAGTGAGTCATTTAGAACATCGATAAGATAACCATTAAAAATTTGTATGACATAAAATGGTGACCATATCTTGAACTGTTTGGTCTCCCATCTCGAATTAATAAATTTATTTTATGTTTAGATTAATGTCGGAGCCCTGCCACCGGGTAAAGAATGTAAAGTGAAGATTCGGTATGTCACAGAATTGGATTTGATCGATGGATCTTCTATTCGATTTGTTGTTCCTACTACCATTGCACCTCGATACGATCCAAGATTTGGTACTTCGCAATGGAATGATGAAACACAAGCTCAGTATGTTCAAAACTCACCGTATTCAATGTCGTTTCGAGCACATGTCGATCGAGGCGAATACTGTAAGTGAAAGACTTTTGCATATGACATCCATCAGCTAGCATTACTTCTGATCTATGTCAGAAATTCAGTGTACGAGCAGGGCAAAATCGTATTTATTCATTGAGAAAAAAAAAGATTCTTTTCCGCAGCCGTGTATCAACACAACCTTTTTTGATAATGATACAGTTTTTTTATTCTTTTTATTTATACGACCTTGCTCCTAGGCCAAATTAACGAAGTGGTTAATATGTCTCATCCTCTCAATGTCAGCGTATCGCTTCAAACAATCGATGTCTCTTCAGAAGGCATTGCACTCGATCGTGATATTATCCTATATATTGATTTGCCTCAGAGTCCATGTCCAGTACGTGTTGCTGCAGAACAATACGATAATGATTCAAAACTTGCTATTCTTACTGCACTAAGTCCTGGTCAATCAAATTTTGACTCAATACTTAATGCACAAAATCCAATCACAGCAACAACTGAATTTATCTTCATTGGTATGTTTTTTTTTCAAGTATTTTTTTGTAAATTTTGTAGAGAAAATGAATTTTGTCGTATTATTGGTGGACTGATTTTCTTTCTTTTTTGAAAGTCGATTGTTCTTACTCGATGGATGATGAGAATCGCATTGCGCTTGCTCGAGATGCAATGTCTGTATTCGTGCATATTATCCCTATGGGTGCTCATTTCAATATAATTCGTTTCGGATCAGATTTTCGAGTTCTTTTCAATGATGTGATTATGACTACTGTGTACGACGAACAAACGGCCAAGCAAGCTGAAGATTTAGCACGTTCGATGCGAGCAGATTTGGGTGGCACAGAATTACTAAGACCATTACAATATTTGAAAGATCGTCCACCGGGTAGTGGTCGATCGCGACAAGTGTTTCTCTTGACCGATGGTGAGATTGCAAATACAGATGAGCTAAATAACACTTGAAGGAAATTCTGATCTACTAGTATCATATGAAGTTCTAAAGAAAAATTTGCATTTTTTTAAAAATCTTTGTTAAGCCTTTCGGCAGTTTTGTATTTAAGAAAAGCAATATCACATAATGGTTGTGTCTGATAAATTTCGATTATTCTCTTATTTTGATAGGTGATTGAACTGTGCCGTTTAATGTCATCAACTACACGCATTTTCTCATTTGGTCTTGGCCATTCACCTTCTCGTTCTTTAGTGAAAGGTCTTGCTCGTGCCACAAATGGCCATTTTATTTTTATTCCTCCTAGTTCCAGAGTCGATACATACGTAGGCACTCAAATTCAACGAGCTCTTCAACCTTCATTTGTTAATTGTCGATTGCAATGGTTTGGCTTGTGGCCAAGTGGTTCTCAAGCGCCAAGAACTATTCCTCCCGTATATTCAAATGAACGTGTACTTGTCTATACTCTATTCGATAATTTCATATTCACTGAATAATCTGCCATGGTGGATTTTACAATTGACAATGGTCGAATTGGTAAGGGTTCATTAAACCGTATTGAAGTACGCAAAGGAAATACGATTCGTCGATTGGCAGCTAAAGCTTTAATGCAAGAATTGCAACACAGAGGAAGTGAGGAACACGTTTAGTAAGTTCAATTCCTCTTCTAGTCTGAAAAATAACGCGTGAATATATTTCTTTTTATTTCTCTAGTGATGGTAGGATAGTCAAACAGCGTATTATCGATCTTTCATTGACTCATCAAATTTTGTCACCATATACGGCTTTTGTTGGTGTTGAAACAACACGTTCGAATACAAGCACCCCTGCACCAGTTCGATATGTGCCTATTCAAATATCGACAGATGGCGAACATCTTTCATCTCAGAATAGATATCCCACTACTCAATCTCCACAATTTATTCCACCAATGGAAGCACGATTGCCACCGATTGTTTCTCCGCCAATCTATGCCTACCAAGAAAGGATGCCCCAGGCACTAGTATCTGGATACACAGGAGCAAAAGGACGCCCAAGAGTGGCAGAAAATAGATCTAATGAAGACATTACTAGATCATACTAAGGTTTCATGGAAGAAATAAATGCTAATACGCCGGTGCTACAATCCACAACACAATCAAGCTCTGTTTCTACTAGTACAATGTTTGATTCGACAACTTATGACAATAAACCGTAAGTGTTGAGCTTTTTCTTATTACAATGAATTCTGACAATGTCGGAAAGCTCATTTAGGCAGCAGAATATTTAATAGAGATTCCTTCTAGATCAGTTTCAATCGGGATACTGATTTTAAAAATTGGCTAAACTACATATTTCTGAAGGTGCACGAGACATAATACGAAGTTTAACAAAAGAAGATCATAAACATCTATTTCGCACTAAATTCTGATAATATTTTGTTTTGATTTTTAACATCATGAACAACACATATTTTATCTCAAACTTGAATAGATTTGAAAGGTTGCATTGAATATTACCAAGGAAACGATTTTATTGCTCAATTTTAGATCGACAGTTGCCGATCTCAGAAAGCCCTCTGCTGCCGCTGATTCTATTCGCTGGTTGATTGAGAAACAATCGTTCAATGGTGCATGGATTTTGTCCGATGATCAAGTACAACAATTGACAGGAGGCAAATCATGGACGTATTTCATATCGACAATCAATCAAGATAAAGATATCATTACAACAGCACTAGCCATCGCTCTGCTTGAATCGCAACATGTCAAACAAAAGAGTCTTTGGTTTATGATCGCTGAAAAAGGTCGTCGACGACTGTTGGATTTTGGACTCAGCAAAAACGAAATCGATTTAATCATTAACGAGATCCAAAGCAAACTTTAACTAAACATTGCAATCATTAATCACCGATGATGTTTAGATGAACAGAGTTTTTCTGTAAAAATGCATGAAAATTCGGAGAAACCATTCGAAGCTGTTACCTAACCTAAACCTTGACTATCATTTTTTATGAATTAGCTAGTTAAGATTTTTCCTCAAAGAAAAAGATCAATAAAATGCATGTTCGATGAAGAGCAAGAGTTTCTCAGTTAGGTAATATCATGATCAATAGAATTACTTTTCATACATTCACAATGAACAAAATATCAACGACAGCAACAGTATTTGTGTGTGCCATCTACATTGGCAATTTCACATAATAAAACAAAGAGAACATATTCAATCAATGTAGTAAAGAAAAGTTTGTTTATTCAACAATGCAACACACTGAACAAAGTATAAACAAGTTCAATGATAGGAAGATTATTACAATGAATAGAGACAAAAGCAAATCTCCACCAGTTCTCCGTTTAATTTTTTGTTGATAAACGATTCATTGCATTCAATTAGTAACGGAGCTGATCAACTTAACATCTCATCGATGACAATCGATCCGTATCAATCTAGTTAGAAATTACTTCTACAGTTTCAGAAAGAAATTTTCGTTTTTTTTTCGAATGATTGAGAGAATCTCTCGAATTTTTAGAACAATAGTTTATAAGCAGAAATTTATGCTTTTATCCAATCTATGCTCACAATTTTTGTTTGACTCATAGATGAAGAACTATGAGCCAAATATTTCGAAGGCTCAAACATAGAATATATAAGATATGAGCATTTGGTTTATCGAATGCGGAATGGCAGTAATTCCAAATAAGAGACTTTCAGCTCATTGAGCATGTTTTCAGAAACAAACAAATACATTAATCAAATAATAAGGACGACTTTTTTGGTATAGCAAAAAAAATTTATCATACGATTGCGGTTTTTGCTTTCGAGATCAATAAAATCGAAACAATCAACTTTTTATGGTGTAGTCGTGTCTTTTTCTAATACCCTTGTAATTCATGTTTTGCATCGGATTTCTATAACTGACTCACTCAAGATAGAATATGATTGCAAAAGAAACAACTCTACTTTGAATAAGCCTTTTGTGAGTAAAATACAAATCCGTTCAAGAATATTAAAAAGCACTTTATCAAGGGTTCGCTATTCTCAAAAAATAGTTTAACAGTCTACGCATATAATTTTAGAAAAAACATTTTTTTTACGTGACACAAAGGCAGAGATATAAAAGTGATTAGGTTCAATTGGATTGCCTTTTAAATCATTTGCTATTACTATATCATTTTCATTCGAATTCATTTTTCTTCATGAGCCAGAAAAGAAGTGTAATCATGCTTATAGGAATAGGAAACATTCAGATGAAATACGCTGTTTGAACATTTCATATAAGAATAATGAAGCCGGATGAATGTCAGTTTGAGACTTCTCACCACCCGTATCCAAACACCAACACTTGAGGGTGTGGGTTTGGTTTAACTCTAGTGAAGACTAACACTCACACCCTCTCTTGCGCAAACATACCGAAATACTTTTCTCTGTTTGATCTTGTTGTCGGAAACTTTGAATATCTCTTATATCGCAAAATTTTTCGTCGATCAAAATTTGACTACGATGAAAATACTATTCAGTGCGATCCGATTCTTATCAATAGGTGATAGCAATATGTTTTATCAAGCCTTTTTGTCTAATAGGATGTAGTCTATTGATAACCAGAAACTGTTTCACTGCTCCGAAAGTAGATGACACGGGTGTAGGCGTGTGAGTTTGTGTGTTGGTGCATTTATTGAGCACTCTCACATCCACACCCACACCACACCTCGAAAATGTGTTTTGTTTACTTCTGCACTTTTATTATCATTATTTGTTTACACATTAGCATACGATTGATTCAAAGTATAGCGATTTTTAGCCAATTTAGCTTGAATTTTAATCATCTCTCTTCTCGTAAGATAATGAATCATTTTTCATTGATGCGACTTTATACGTGTCCGTGTGTTATAGTAATCGTCAAACGTACTGGCGTCAGATCGCATTCTGTTTCTGATAAATTTTACACAATAGATGATTTTAATAGGTATTAGATTAAACAGTAATTTGTATTTTATTTCATGACAATCAAGAGAAACAAAGGAGTAGTGCAGATGATTTAGAAGGTTTCAATAAATTACAACAAAAAGATGAACGAATGTAAGTTTGTCTCACAATGGCTTTATTCTAGTAATGTATAATTTCATTTGAAGCCGAAATAAAAGTTTTCACATAATGTAAGTACTGATATTCTTCTTGCAGACAAGAGTCATGAATAAATATAAACGTTCGCATGCGTCTCAGACTACGAGCGCGTCACATTACATGAATTTGATTGTCGAAATAGCATGTATATATTTTTATAGTTAATTGAATACATTCTTTCCTAATGATACGAGACGTTAGAACATACAGAAAAATGGTATCACATGGCCCATTAGCAACATAACTCGACAAATGAAAAATATTGAGTAAAACATTTCTTGATGGCTGATAAATCCTAGAGAAAGATAAAAGTAGGCGGACTACACATATTGCTAAAGTAAGTAATATTTGAATTCCTACTTGAACCAGAAATATTCGGATAAGTTGAGTTTCAGTTCGACGATAACGTGCAGACAAAATAAGAAAATAAAATGAAAAATATTATACGCTTGAAGAAAAGACTGTATCTCCCTGAACACGACAACCAACTATATCATTGGTATTTTAATCAGCCGTTAGGAGTGATATGATAAACAAAAGTAAAACAAACAATTTTATAATAATAACGATCAATCATTTGGCCTTTTAGACATTACTGAAAGCATGTAGTTATACATTCGCTGAACTCGCTACCCATCGACTAATCGACCCGTGTACAATGAAAGATGGTGATAATGCTGGTAGAAGAATACTAAAATGAGTAATGAGATTAATGATTGGATACTTATTCGTTTATGATATTCATCACGCAATAAACTAACGACGAGAGCAGTGGCCGGTTATATTGAGTTATTCATAGAAAACGCAATAAAGTAAAAAGAACATGCATGTGGTCGCATTCTATATTGGCCAAGTACAGCAATGTTCAATGTATTGCCTATTACATTAGCAAAAACAATTGCAGGAAGTCCTATTTAAAAGAAAATGATTAATAATCTTTCCTAATAAATCAATTACTTTCTTTGGAATATAATGATAATTTGTATAAGTGTTCCTTTATGGTGAACACTACATAATGACAAGAGACATTAATTTTTTTCAGTTCCTCTCCATAATGAATATTAGATTTTAGAGGAAAACGAGGTGTCTACTGATTCAAAAATTATTTATTTCTTAAAGATACTGTCAAAGTTAATCTAATCTTTGAACGCTAAGCCTATAATGAAACAGAATCTGGAGACAAATCTGCAACATCAAATTCTCTAACAGTCTCCATTAGCAGCGTTATAAGACGGGCTTTGAAGTTTAAGGAAAACATAAAAGAGGAAAGATAACCAGAGCGATTGCGTTCAAAACTAGAATTACTCGACTTTTTATTATTTTACAGTATATGAATAAAAGAAAAAAAATGTTTACCTAATAAAATCTTGCTTTAGCCTCAGAGTTTTTTAAATCG